TCACATTTTTACTGTTAAAAATCGCTTTTCCATCACTGCCAGCGGATGGCTCTGCAAAGTGGGTCGATGGTATATTACGCTGATCCTCCTCTGGCACGGTTAAAGCCGTACATTACATCTGAATTTGTGGAAGAGCTCTGGGCCCCAGGCATCATTCTTCTTTGTCGTGCTGTCAGCACAAATCTCTCCCCGGGGGTCTCAGCATCAGCTCTCTGTCTTGCTGCCCCCGGATGGGATGAGTAAAAGGACGGGGAGATTTCGGCGTGCCAACAGGACGCCCACACACGCTCCCCCAGCCCGCCCCCCGTACCTTGCAGCACATAAACCCGCCCACCTTTCCGCTTACATCATGTAGACGATGGATTCAGACCTTTGTCATGGGGTTTTCAGAACTCCTCCAACTTCCCCCTCACAAGTTTGAATCTGAGGATCTCAGTGCTCTCATGTGGGACATCAGTGGTGTCTGTCCATAGAGGGCCCCCACCAACAAAGCATGGGCCTCTTTCACCTGCTGAATGTGATATTTGACTGAGATGTGCCACGGACGTCCACACAACGGTTTGGCTGTGCTGTTTTTCCCCAAGGAGCTGGCATCACTGAGGGGAATCTCCCAAACCGCCCCCTGAGCCAAAGTGAGTGGACATTTGTCTTCAAGGTGTTGGTCACAGAGGTCAGCCACTGATGGACTCTCTTTAGACATCATTTCCTAAAGTTTATCATGACGGGTGGGTTTTACTGTGAATTTAGACACATATCGTGTTTAATGTAATGGTTAAGTTTGAGAATGTAAGACTGCTTCCCAATTCTTTATTGTTGGATGTGATCTTTCCTCTAGATGTGAGTGAGGATGTGGGTGGAGGAATTCAGGCCATCTCTCTTCATGCAGGCCACGCTCCTTGTCCACTAGGAGGGAGTAAAGAGCATGGTTTCCCCCCCGTTCAGCGACCCAGATATATTCCAGCTCCAGGCTGCGCTGTTTATTCTCTGTGGATTAACTTCCCCAAACGCCCCCCCCACCCCACCCCATCTAGCAGCTCCACAGAGATGGAAAAACACAAGATACTTCTCCAGGTCATGGTAAATCAGCTCTGAATGAGCTTATAGACAACACAAACACTGC